TGTATTGGTTGTATGTATGGACAGGTTTTACTGGTTGTTGCCCTTTTTTGCTCTGGACAAGTTTGTCCTCTGCGTGGCAAGCAGTGGTCAGGGCAAAAACCGATTTTCTTGAAGTGTTCTGCTTGAACGAAACGAGAAGGACATCTTTGTGCCTGAAGTACAGAGTTTGTCCAGCTTCCAATTCAGTATTCTTTAGTGTTGTTGCAAGATACTGAGAATTCTTATTTATAGTTCCAGTAAGGTAGGTGTTCCTTTCATGCAACTTCAATGCTAGAGGTACTTTAGTGTAAAATTGATCGGTGAACAGGTGATGGCCTTTGTCGAGGAGACCACTTTTCTCCATTACCTCTAACACACATTTTTGTAGAAATGGCCCTGGTTTATCAATCAAGAAATCTGCTCCACTGTACATTTCAAGGTGCAAGACATAACTTAGTTAGTGGCAGAATCACAGGTCTCAAATTTTTAAATTCCAAACTGCTTGTGTTTTTTTTTTTTTCGGGAGATATTGTATGTAAGTATGTATTGTTGTTATGAATTATGATAAAACTCAGCTTATAGAGTTTAGTTCTAATAATAATCAATATAAAACAGGTAAAATTACAACATCAAAATCTAAAATGCCACTGCAGCAAAACGTGAATTTTTTAGGTATAACTGTCAATGAAAATCTTAACTGGAAATCACAAGTTGTTACAGTAATTTGATTAAACGATTAAACCGCTGTATTTTCTCTCTTCGTGCAATCGGACAAGCTGTTGACATCATGCTTATTTTTCTTCAATAATGACATATGGTATTCTGGTTTGGGGAAACTCATGCCACTCCAACAAAATATTCAAACTTCAACAAAAAGCAATTAGAATTATTGGGCGAGTTCCTCGTACAACTCCTTGTAAAAGTCTTTTTCAAACATTTTCGGTTTTAACATTTTATGATCACTATATTTTAGAAATTTCAAATTGGGTTAAAGACAATCTCTCCTCATTCATGAACCAACCCATTCATTCCCACCACACTAGATTGAAGAGTTATATTAAGCCTGAAACCCATAGATTAGAAAAATTTCATTTATCTCCCCAATATATAGGCCCACAAGTTTACAATAAGTTACCACTCCGCATAAAAAATATTGATAGTAAAACACAGTTCAGATCCACCCTGAAGACCTAAAAAAATTTTTTTGTATAGAATGTTATTTAAATAGGGACGTTAAGTTAGATTAATAATTTAGTAAGACATTTTTATTATTTCTTAGTTTTAGTATATCCTGTATATGACTTTATGTCCTGTCAAAAAATGATGTAATGACATGTAGTAAAAAAATAAATAATAAATAAATAAGAACAACGGTTTTTCATGCCTATAAGGCTCTCGTCCAGGCATACATTCTGTCCGGGGACAAAATACTTTTTGAAAGCTCTGTTTAAATGGTCTAACAGATATCTTACTTTGAACCAGTGGTCGAATTCTGGATGGCCTCTTGGATGTCCATTGTTGTTGGTAAGTTGGAGGTTCCACAAAATTAATGCGAACTTGTTGTAGCTCATCGTCTTAGCAAAAAATGGGTGTGACTGAGATTCTCTCGTATCCCAGTAGCCTGTTATATTCTTGAGTTTCCAAATCCCCATGTTTATGAATAACCCAAAAAACTTCTTTATGTCTGCAAACAGTACAGTCAGTCCACCTTTTTATTCTTGATTGTGGGGACAAGTTTTGTCTTTCAAGCGCTTTCCTTGCCTACGCATTTGTACACTGACAAATTATATTCCAGATAGCCTGGGTAAAGAAAAGATAGAAGTATTCAATACAACTACTATTTCTAGGTGGGAGATTTTGTATGCCAGTGTTCCTCCTAGTAAATTTTGATTCGATCTCCTTTTCAGGTTCTGGTGGATAAACTCGAATCCAGAGCAAATTTGGAGGACCTTTATTCTTCTTAGGCCTAGGCCTACTACTGCTAGGTACATCATTACTAGGCACACTTACAGGTACTTCAGGCTCCCCTGGATCATCAACATCTTGCTCCCTATCACTAGTGTCCAAATCATCGTAATCAGGAATGTATTCTTCCCCACTTCCACTTGAAAAGTCCAGTAACGATTCTGAGTCTGAATCAATATTCTGAGGCGGTAAACCTAAATCGAAGTCATCTTCAACATTATCATCGTCAATATCACTTATTTCTTCATTCAACAATTCCCTAATTTCACTAGATCTCAAATCATCACACATTTTGTAAACATAAACCAAAACAAACTCACAACAACTCACGTAACCGTAACCACAACAAATGACGACATCACAAACTAACAGATGCTCTGATTTTTAGTCACAGACCAGTAGTAAGCAGCCGTCATATGGTTTTGTCATGAAGCCTAGCAATCCCCCTAAACGTAGAGTAAAGATAGCGACACGATTCTAGCGCTTGAACGGCTTTAAAATCAACGAAACGAAGAGTTTGCAGACCCGCCCATTTTCGGGCGGGTGACGCTGCTGGCCCAGACGGACCCGCCCGAAATCGGGCGGCTGACGCGCGGAGGGTTAAAGATATGACCATGACAACTTTAGGCAATAATAAAAGAACAATATGGGGAAACAATAAATAAAGACAACGTAGTGTTGAGCGCGAAACTTCGAGGGGGACGTAGGAGTGGTGGGGGGTGCACAAGAGAGGTGATGGCGCGGGAGAGGGGTAGGCGGGGGAGAGAGGGGGGAGTGCGGGAGTGAGCGCAGCCATGGAGAAAGCAGGAAAGTGGCGCCGTGGTTACTGCTCAAGCACCTGCCAGTCTGTTTGAAGAGAAGGCGGATATATCTGCTTCCCGTCTGGAACATCAAAAACTATAAGCGGATATATCCGCAACCCGTCCTTTATCGCCAAAGACTTAGGCGGATATATCCGTCACCCGTCCGGGAAGGGTTAAATGATAAATTGGGAGGCAAATCATAAAATATTAACAGTCAAAACCATACCCATATCTATAGATTATCCTTAAGAAAAAGCTCAAATTCTTTGTTTAGCCTACCTCTTTTCTCCTATATAAACCAGACAGGTGAAAAAGGAATGTACCTAACAGAGAAAACCCTTATTGTATTACGTATATAGATTATCATGTTAGTTAACTCAACTCTGACAAACAGAAGAATTACAAAATAAAAAATACTAACGATTCCTTTTCAAAATCATTGGGCAGTTATTCTACATACTTCAATGTACAGTAACAACTCTTTCACCAACAGCACACATTTTTTAATATTTTCAATAGTTTCCCTGACAATTAAAACCAACTCTTTTGAGTTTTTGTGAGAACACTGAAATGTCTAAATATTTGTGATATAACACATCTAAACAAAGACCAATCGCACAAACACCAGGTCCATGTGGTGAATGTTGAAACCTCAAAGGGATTGTGGCCATGAAAGGCTTTGTGATTTCATTTCGCGTGTTGCTGTGTTGCACCAACACTATTGTCTAGGATGAACTAGGACAGCTACCACAATTCTGAATGATCCTAAACTTGTTGGGTTAGTTATAGATCAAACTATATAGAGTGATGCAAAAGTATACATACTACATTTTTAATTGCTTGCCACAGGAAAACTAAACTCTGCATATATGACATAATACACTTTTTTGGTCGGTATATTATACATTTTGCACGGGACTCAAAATGAGGTATTTTGGGGGCTCTTCAAAACTTTTAAATGGAAAGCCCCATTGAGTAACACCTCATTTTAAAGGTATTAAAAAATATATCTGCAAAAACTAGAGGTATCTTACCTGGTATAACATGACAGTCATTTGATAACACACTGCACAATTTAATAAAACATTACAGGTGAATAAACATATAAACCCCGTTAAAAGGAGATAATAAACTCTACATTTGGTTCCAATTCTCTCAAATGATAGCCTAAAGTTTAATTTAAAATGGCTGCCTTTTCGTAATTAATCGAGATAGAGATCTCTAGTTTTCACCAATATTCTTTGATAAAGGACCTTTAACACAAACACAAAGTGTCAATCTCGATGATGCTTGCATATTTCAGATTTTTGACTTGCCTCCAAAATCCCCCATTTTAGGATTCTGGGCAGAAATTAATTACCAACCAAAGAGCGCAATTGTATGCCATATTAGGGTGTGCAAAATTTAGTTTACCTGGCATTAACCAACCCCATTAAAAGTTAAGAAGAGGTATCCATACTTGCTAACCTGTATTAATAAAACAGGCCTACAGAATGTTTAAAAAATAAACAGCATTCTCAGCAATCTGACACATACTTTCTCCCATTAGCTTGCTTGCTAACAATCCATATCATAGACAAGCTGTGGGAGAAAGTAGGATATTTTTTTGGTAAAATCAGAAAATCTATGATAACTTTTGAACGTACTCTAACAAAATGTTCTTGAATTAAAAATGTTATTGTGAATAAACAAAAGGGCAGCTAACTTATATGAGTAACTTTCAAGATTTTATATTTATTTTTAATATGATATTTTGACTTGTCTGTGGTTTAGGAATAATAGATACCTGAAAAGATTGGTAGAGAGTTCCGGGACACCTTGTATATAAAAATTTAAACGAATAGAGTTTTTTGGTTTCTTGGGACATTAAAATGAAAAAGAATATATTGGTCCCGAGAGTCGGTCTTACTGTGCCACCTACAGCAATAAAGAGCCACCAAAAAGAGAAAAAGGTAATAAATACTGAGATCCCTTAAAATGTTTTCCCGTTACCTCTAAATAATGTAGTACAACCTACTACAGTTCCTATACATCATCCTTGAGTTTACTTAAAAGTCAATCAATAATTAATTGAACAAGGGTAGGCCTACATGATGGCAAATCTGTTTCACAATTGACAAATAATAAGCAAGGTCAAAAGAATGGCTTTTGCTGGAGTTGTTACATAAATAAACAGTAATGCTCTTCATCTCTTGTTAACCTTGGGATACTCAGGAAAACAAGCAAAAACTATTTGTAGGTCATAGGGAGTTAACAAAAAACCAAACAACAATAAAACAAGACACAAGTTGAACAGAATCAGTCGAGTGAACACCATGGCACCCAGAGGAACCGTTGACGCAATACGTAAGTACCAAACTGAAACTCAATGTTGTTATAATGTGTTGTTTACAGCCATTACATGGGGGCCTGAATATTTTATTATTATTTTTTTAGATATTTTTTTAGGCCTAGGCCTAACTTATTTGATAACATTCACTTAAGACAACTTAGGCTAGGCTGAGTTGATTCGCTAAGTTCTTAATTGTGTCTGTCTTCCTGTTATGTAGGCCCTAATCATAGATATATGCTACAACTTATTTCCAGATTTAAAAAAATAATAGTACCTCGCAGGAGCAAACCTGCAGATTAAATGAATTTCCATTTTTCTGATTGGATTTTAACTCAAATATTTCCTTAAACATGGCAGATTTATCCAGCAAACGTTTGCTCTTAAAAATTATTAAGTTAGCCTAACTTATATCAATATTTCATTAACTAAGTTGTTATTTTAATGATTTTTTTCTGAAATGGATTTAGATTGTGAAATCTAGGCCTAATAGATTTTTGAAGACTTAACTCCTTCTTCCAGTAAAACTACCTTCCAATAGTCACATTAATTGGTCTAGGTATATCATCAAATGTTGGCTTCCCCATTTTTACCGGAACTCAATTTCATAAGCAAGTCCACATTTGTTTAAAGTTGGTATATTGACACACCAAATCATAAATGCAGACTGTAACTTAAGTCCAAAACAGTTACCGAACGGTACCTAGGTTAGCAGTTAGCAAATAATGAACTTTGAATTTAACCTAGAAGAACGTTGTCCCATAAAGCTTATACATATAATTGTATATAGGCTATATAATTGTAAGTTACGGTGAATTTAAAAATGTAATCAACACAGTTTTGAGTGACCAAAAACCAAAATCACTTTGAATCCATACACAATAGAGTGAGTTCAATGGCGGTTTAGACAAGACTAACTTAAGCTGTGCGACAAAGGAAGTATAAGAAGTACCAACAACTGTAGGCAATTCACAATGATTCAACCATGTTTTAAACAACACAAAAACTCTAGCCTAAATTGTTGTTTGACGGCTAAACTTATAGGGTATTTGATCAGAGATACAGCTGCAGTAACTTATGTTTTCTTGCCATGCAAAAGGAAACTAGTGTGGGTTGAAAATTAATTAATAATCAACATTTGGTCTTAATAAGTTAGATAAGGTCAGGTAGGAAAGCAAATAACGCATGTGTATTATAAGTATGTAACACATACAAACAAAAATGAGAGAAGCATTCAATAATAACTAAGCCTAGGTCTACCTAAGATAAAATTAACTTGGGCATTTGGTCTTAAGATTTTAACTTGAGCTGGTCAAATAACCATGTAAACCTTGGCCTACTAGTGCAATGAAATCTTTTTACTTACCAATTAGGCGGATAAAATCGAAAACTTTCAATCGTAAAAATGTTTTGAAGGCACGATGCTTTTGTCTCTCAGCCGATTAGATGTATGGGCGTGTCTATAACGGATTCACTAGTAAACATTGTTAATGCACACACGATACGTAATTTGTTTGATAGTATCTATGCAAAATAACAGTTTTATAAAATTTAGACCAACTTACTTACATCACTTATACACACAATAGTCCAGCAATTTCTATTAATGGCAACCTCATAGATATACAAATGGTTAACCTCAACCTCAACCGTAAAAGAATCTTTAATGAAGACAGAAAAACATTCTAGGAAACAAAAATATGTTCAAATTTATTTCAGTTGCGAACGAACACAATTCCGTAATTTGGATGATTTTATGTGGTATACACTTTAGTACCAACAGCATTAAAACTAAAAGCCAAACAAATACCGGAACTTTGGAAACAGGAATTGACAGTAAATAAACAGACAGACATGACACATGACACTTTTCTCTTTCTTTGCTCTCGCTTGCTTGCTTTACTCCTAACGGTCAAAGGAAAACCCTTGATCTGTTAGCTGTTTGACATATAGATCGGACCAGAAAAGAGAAAACACAGACATATAAAATGTCAACACGTAGAATATAGTTATTAATTATATGAATGGTTATTATATGTCATGAATGTCTATTGAATCGATTGAGAAATCAAATGTTAAATGTAAAGGTGGGATAATTTAATTCATGGAATGCATTCTATATATTGTATAGTTAGATTCAAATTCTTTATTGATCAATGTCTTTAATCATTCGTCATGATTCCTAAATTAACACACGTACCAAACATTAACACTATCTTTTGTATTTATTTATACGTGTGAAGAAGTATCTACTAGATTATCTATATATTAATTTGAAACTGTTTTTCTCTGTGACAACTAATTTGAGAGAACGGCTGGGTGTAGAAACTCGGTAGGGGTGTCTAAAGAAAGGCCTTGGTCTGTAGATGAGCCATCAAAAGAGAAACCTGGTAAATTCCCTCGGGGCTCTGCCCCAGTGGCCTTTAAATTCCCATCCCATGTTATTCTTATGGAGGAAAAATGGGGGTTTTGTGACAGCTAATTTGAGAGAACGGCTGAGTGTAGAAACTTGGTAGGGGTGTCTAAAGAAAGGTATTGGTCTGTAGGTGAGCCCTCAAAAAAGAAACGAGGTAAATTTCCTTGGGGCTCTGCCCCAGAGGCCTTTAAAGTTCACTCAGCAGTTTTTAAGTATTTAATTATTATGGATTATGGTTATGGATTTGGTTCCGCAAATGTTCAAGATTTTTTAGTCAAATTTCCTACAATTATGGTTAGTTCTATCCACGAATATACATGTACAGCTTTATGTGATCGATATGGCCATTGCAAAACTACCCCATAAGTTAATCAATTATTTTAGTGATATTGACTCTTTCCGTCAGATGACAGACCAATTATATGAACTCCTTTTCCCATATAGTGAAAGAGGCCTTAACATAAACAAAATTCATGAACAAGAAAAAGTTGTAAGACTCCTGAAAAGCCTTTTGGGCAACCTAAAGCCGACGAAAGCACAGAAAATATTGAATTTATCAACCACGTTTTTTAAGGTACACTCTTCTTACTCATAATTATGTTTATCCTCCCTAAGATTTTAATAACTTCACTCTATCCATCACAGTTAGCTGAATTTACCTAAAACCCCAAGAGTAGCCGTCGATTTCGACGGAAATCACCTAGTGGACATTTATTAGGACCATCTGGAGCCACGAGCCATCGAGGTAACCCAAACAAAAAACATACTCCCTTAGTAGATTTCTCATCCTTATGGATCAGCTGAAGACAATTATTGCATTGTTAGCGTGAGGTGCATTGAGCACTGTAGAGGTCGTGTGTTGTTTACAATATGTTTCTTGTTATTTAAGTCATTAAAACCTCGTTTAACAAAATAAAACTATCTAATTATAGACAATAACTCGTCCCCTAGTTATACAACCAAATAGTAAAGCACAAAATAATGAAATTAGCCCCAAAATAATAGAAACAAAATTTCGTCGACACTAGCGATCAGTGTCACCGGACATAAACTAGACACAAAAGATGAGCTTCAAAATATTACAGTGAGATGAAAAGTCTACTTGTGTTGGTTATACCATAGATAAAACAAGGGAATATGTTTTATGGTTATACCACAGTCTAAAATTATTTATTGTTAGACTGTGGTTATACCATACCCTCAGTATCCAATAGTCAATGGTTAAACCCAAACTAAGGTGGGCCTAAGGGTGTTTATTGCCAATAACTTTACTAATGTGTTGGTCTGTTTTTAGCGAATTTCCCTATAGGGAAGTAGCTATTACCGTAGGTGGCACGGTAAGACCTAAGCCCAGGACCTATTTACTTTTTCATTTTGATGACCCCAGAGGTCAAAAACACCATTCGTTCAAATTTATATATATATATACTAGCTGACCCGGCGAACTTCGTATCGCCTAAGTTATAGGTTTCCCCTAAGACAGACCGATGGAAAGAAAGTACCGTTACGTTTAACTTTCAAGATGATCTCGTTCGCATCGCTCAATCACGTCCTGGTTGAAGTTCGTTCGCTACGCTCACTCACCTTTGGGTTGGAGCTCGTTCGCTACGCTCACTCACCTTTAGGTTGGAGCTCGTTCGCTGCGCTCACTTGCCTTCAGGTTAGCTCGTTCGCTACGCTAACTCGCCTCCAGGTTGAAGTTCGTTCGCTACGCTCACTCACCTTTTGGTTGCAAATTAGCTGTTGTCATAAATGTAAAAGAAATAATAGTGCTGCACCCTGTTGGTAATCCTTGTAACTTTAATGCTATTGAACATCATAGAACAGAACCAACTTGTTTAATTGAAACAGCTGTTAAGATTCATTAATTCCATTACTCATAAGGTTAACATGGGAAACTCCAGAGCCACTGGGGCGGAGCCCTTTTAAGAATTTCGAAACGGGAAATAGTTTACGTCCGATTCGCATACCTACAGAATTTACACACCAAATTTCATAACGATCGGTGAAGTCGTTCCGGAGGAGTTTGCAGACAAACACTGTGACACGAGAATTTTATATATTAGATAGATAGTATCTATTTATTTATTTATTCCAACGGTAAACCATCGATCTCTAGAGATCGATGCGGTAAACCCATTACATTGATCCATTAAAAAAAATAACAATAATAACCAAGGCAAGATGTGACTACAAATGAATACAATGATTTTATTTGGCCAATCAACAACATTGTTACAGGCTATGTCAGTGTACAAGCATAAAATAAAATAAATATCAAGAGTTAAAAATCAAACCAAGCAAAAATCGATAATTTATTCAACAACAACAGCAACAACGTATTAATACAATAAGTTTAAATTACTACAGCAAAAAATGTGGGCATTGACCATGTAACAATATAATATAACCATATAACAAACAATTAACATCAAATAAATATTTTCAGATTAACAACAAAAATAAATAATTTATTTTTTTGTTTACTTTGATCATGGAACAATAACAACAAATAAATATTTCAAAATGACAACAATATTTCCACTTATTATTTTTAACTATTTATTTTAGCTATTATTTTTAATAATAGATCTATATAAATATAATAGAGTTACACATGTGTACCTAAATGCGATAGCTTGAGTAATTTTTGTCCGATTTTCATGAAATTAGGTTTAAATGTAGGTAGGCCTATAAGGCGGCGGGATAAACTTCAATGAGTTTGCGAACCAGCATGGTTGGTCTATGTGAACATGCGATTATGGGGTAAAAATTGGTTTTTATAATTTTTGACCCTGAAAACATAAAATTTCCCAATTTATCCTTAGACCTTTTTAAAGAGCGAAAAAAACCAAATTATTTAGTATATCAAAGTGTTTTTGTACGGTTTTTGGTTACAGAGAAATTTCAAAAAATTGTAAATTTAAAATTCCCATGTTATTTTTATGGAGAATATTGTAAACTGTTGTAGTCTGCTTAACTATAAAAGCACACTCTATTAGTTTCCTTGTAGCAGCAAACCTAGGTAGCCTACTCGTTAAACCTAATGTTATTTGAATAAATTTAATTGCAAATCAATTCAGACAAATGAAAGTTCACTTAGTCGGCAGATTTGCTGCAGCAGGGGTATTTTTAATGTACAGTAGGCTCTCTCTTACCCGGACAAATTTTAACTGGACTACACTTGGTATGCATAAGTGACATTGAACGATTGTCGGTTTAACCAGAAAACTTGCTATCCGGACTAGTCTTCTTGTGGTCTTGGTCCCTAGGAGTCCGGATAAGACTAAGAGGGATATTATATGTATCTCTCCTCCATGTTATTCATTTATTTTATTTTCACAATGGCACAGCCACTTTACAATTAGAAAATCATATTAGTAATAAGAAAACTAGCAAACAGTTAATTAAAAGATCATAAATATTGTATAATTATATAAATAATGAATATAGAACAATCAACAACAATAATGTGAATAGTGCATACAAAAGTGGGATCAAGCACAAGACAAGACATGGATGCACTACAGTATGGAATTCTGAAATAATATAGAATCAACAGAGAGAGGGTGGATTGCATCAGTAGGGACAAGACAAAAAATAGTTGTGAAGTTAATTTTTTTAATAATACTTTGACATTATTAATATACATATCAAATGATTTTTGTTTTGTCTTAGAACAAAACATGGGTCCTGTGGAAACAATGAGGGACGAAACGTTGGTGTATAAGTCTGAGATTGAATCCCACGAAGCTCACAGCTCTCATTGGTGGGATCTGAAGGGCAGCATGCGGCCCCTTCACGCTATGAACAAGTTGAGGCAAGAATATTCATGCATAAATTCAACACTATGTATCTACAAAAATGTATAACTATGTTCTATTAATAGCCTTTTTTTGTTGTTTTTAATTGTCTTGCTAGTTATAGCAAGTCTAATGTTATAGTTGCTTGTTTTTAATAGGAGTTTACAGCTATAAAACTAAGATATGCTTGAATGTATTTTTTGAACAACTAAAGTTGTAATATTATTTTAATTACTCCACCAAAATAACCTACACACTTACAATAACTCAGAGACCTACAAAGTTTGGTACACTCTTTACACATTTAACTGTAAATTGCCTGAATGTATTAAAAATATAAGTTTATAATTTTATTTGTCTTAATTTGGTTTTCAAAAAACTGATTTAATATATTGCAACTGTTAACCGTTGCTTTTTTAGACTTCCTTTGATCAAAGACGGACTTTTGGCTACAGGACGAATCAGTGAAAGTCAAGCCGCAAAAAAGACATTTTTAGAAGGACTTAGAATACTTGATGTTGGTTGTGGAGGAGGAATATTATGCGAGGTATGTTCATTGCAAAAATTACTTCAAACTGTAGATATGTATGTCCTGATGCATGTTATTAAAATTGTTGAGTGTGTCAATGCCATTAAAAATTTGTTTACGTTTATGTAAGGGAATGGTCCAAACCTTATAAAAGCTTTTACTATACATTCAAACTTTTCTTAGAAAGCTTCATTGAAAAATGTCATCTCACATGCATAAATCGTAAAGGGTAAAGGGGGGATAAAGGAGGGGGGATACTTTTCGTAAAACTTAACAATACGGTTTGAGTTTTCTAAATTACTGTTCACACAAAATCAGCTGATCTCAGAATTAAAAAAAAAAATTATTCTTTTATTTCAAGTTGATGAAAAGTCCCACAGTTGTTCTGAATATCCAGAGTATATTTGATTTGACAAGAAATGTTTTTATAAATTTCCTGTCAAAAGATCACTCTAAGATTGGTTTGTGTCCCAGGCGCTAGCTCAGGCTGGAGGCTACGTGACGGGTGTTGACCCAAGTGGCGAGCTAATCGCAGTTGCACGACAACATGCGACCAGTCTCAATGTGCGACCACCCACCTACGTTTGCGACACCATAGAACACCACTCAGCGCAGTACCCTGACCACTATGACGTAGTTATAGCGTCCGAGGTGGTCGAGCACGTCCCCAACCCCGAGTCCTTCATGACTGGCTGCGTTGCTGCTTTGAAGGTAACCATTGAAATTGAATCATATTGTTGTTGGTGGGTCGGTGGATCAGTCAGTAGCACTTAGATCTTGGAGTAATTACAGTGATGTCAATAAATAATTAAATGTCGTTGGTTCGGATTATGGTGCGGCCCCTAAATTTTATAAGTTCAGTTGACCCTTGTAGCACCAGCCCACCCCTTGCTTTGCTGCATACATTACATACACTAGCCCGAGGTCTATATGTAGAATGGAAATTGCAACTTTAAAAGCAGCCGCCAAACTCAAACTCTTTAAAAAATAAAATATATATACAATCTTGTACATGGAAGCCTAGACTTTTGTAGAATCTAAAGCCTCTTTTGATATAGTTGGACTTGAGTGCACTGATGTCATATTAATTTTGTTTTCTTTTTGGAGCATGTTTTACAGTCTTACACCTTTGGCTTTCCTCTTTGGTTATTATATAGTTCTCAAATACATTTATTTATTTAGTTAAAGTGGTTTTACGTTAGATCCAGGGCTGCTTTAGTAAATGGGCTTGGTGGGTCTGGGTCCAGGGGAATAATAGGTTTTGGGTTCGTTGTGGGCGCAAGGAAGAGAAAAATTACTCCGCAAGGAATGGGGAGGGGAGGGCAATGTTTCTCAAACCGCGGGCCTGGTTGGATCAATAACAACAAAGAAATAGTTAACACGCTCAGTGTAATCCCGGCAAAAGATTGAATAGGAATAAGCCTGTTAAGTATTCAAGATCAGTGCATAGCCGATGGGCAGCTTTTAAGGAATTTAAAGTCTATACAAAGCTACATAACACCCTTTCATGGGTGACAAAAAAATAGGCCTATGCGATAAACTGTATAAACAATAACAGAATTCAAATACATTTTACAGCCAGGTGGATCACTGTTCACAACAACACCGAATCGCACAGTCCTTTCATGGTTTGGTGCAATCTTCATCTGCGAGAATGTCCTGAAAATTGTTCCCTCAGGATTTCATTCTTGGAAACAGTTTATACACCATCCCGAGCTCATGACTATGATCAGAAACAGTGAGTATAATGACAAAGCAAAACTATTTTTTCAAGTTTCAAGTATATTAAATAAAAAAAAGTTTAATCTATATTATATTGGTAGATAAGATAGTTATTCGATTTTCATCAACTGCTTATGGGATACAATTTTAGTTCTTCCTCCATCATCAAGACAGACATTTCTTATAATTATTAAAACATTACCTTTTTGAGATGGTGTTTAAATGCTGTCTGCAATATTTATGACATACATTTGAGAATTCAAACTGGAACCTCCTTGAATAATGCTTGAATCAAACTAAAACCATAAAAAAAAACACTGTAATCTTTTGCTTGCTCTAAAACATTCTGTAAATAATTATACTCATAACTGAGAGTATGAGATAAGATACCTACAACTTGGTCCAATCAAATCTTTACAAATACATGTTTTTTTTCTGATGTAAGGAAAAGATTTGGTTCTATTAAGTTTTGAAAAATGTGTGTTTTATTTCTTTATCATCTACATAGTCATCTTATTCACAGTTTAAATCACATCAAAGTAATCTTGTTATAAGTTTTATTGATTAAGCCGAACATTAAAACATTCTAACAAGTAACTTTTTTCAGAGGGCTGCAATGTTTGTAAGGTCCGAGGGATGTTTTATGACCCCATCCGTAACAAATGGAGCTGGTGTTTTACTCCGACACTCATGTATGCTATTCATTCCGTCAAAGCACACTGATGATCTCCTGTTTGTATTGCACTGAGGTCCACTGACTTACATTAACTAGTGGAACAGTAAGCTTTCATGTGATAACTAAGTACAATTATTGACTTTTGGGTACTGAAATAGACAACCCATCTATGGACCAGCTAAATAATTGGAAGTCCCAATTTTTTCCAAACAGATTACAGCCACTCACAGGTTCAGGTCAAACTTTCTTCAATCTCAGTTTGAACTTTAATGTTTGTGTATGAGTATGTAAATATTAGTAATAAGTGATGTTTAATAAATTAATGTGTTTTGTATTAACAAGTGTCTTATTTTAATAATTTTACCTAATCATTTTTCCATCCGATACCGCCTACTTTTTAAATCCAAGAATTTAGCTTATATTACAACAGGTTAATACTAAAAATACACTTTAACTGAAAATTTTTACACAAGCATAATATACTTACAGTAAGAACCCAAAAGAAGCTAGTACAACTTCTACGCTTGAAAATAATTGTAGTGATAATGAAATATTGTAATCTTTAGGTGTAAGCTAGTGTAAAATTTTGGGATTTATTGTGCCACATAAGGTCTCTCTCCCCTTCAGTAAGCCTGCTATCCCAACCAAATTAACGTTGCATAGTTAACCTGGTCACCAAAGTTCCTGATTTGGAATGATTTGCACACTTGTAAACATATTTTTGTAAATGTGCTAATTTTTAAAACCAAATAAGTTTTGTCAGGTAAAGAAATCGTAGGAGGAAAAAAGCCACAGTTTAAAAGATTATAATAATTAATATAAAGTCAAAGTACATATCAGGTAAGTTTGATGGCCTGCATGATGGTATCTGGGAGACTACGACCTTGTGTTTCAGGCAACATTAGAGACAAACAGCCAGCTCCAACCGACAACCAGAAGAACAACATCATCGGGTTCATGTACATCGCCTGAAAACACCAATTTTGTTAAAACTGTTATGCTTGTAAAACATGTGCTTTACTTAAGTGGGGTATATTTATCATGTTGACTAAGAATATAAGGGGGGGGGGGTTCTAGAAACTTTGCTTTCTCTCCCCAAGGAGAGTACAGTGGAGTTCCGATAATCCGAACTTCGGTAATCTGAAAGTCCGCTTAATCCAAACCAAAAAAAATATATTTTTTTAATTTTTAAAATTTGTTTAAAAACTTTTTATTTAACTTAACTTCTTGATCAGCATTGTACGTGTTATTAAATTTACAGAAAGTAAATAAAAGAAACGTCTTATAACACTTAAAACATATATTTACGCTTATACTGTTACTCAAAAGATGGTAAATATACAAAAAAGATGACCACTTACCATCTTTTTTGTATATTTACCGTCTTGTGAGTAACAGTATAAACGTAAATATATGTTTTAAGTGTTATAAGACGTTTCTTTTATTTACTTTCCGTTAACTGTTAACACAGTTAGCTGTACCTCTTCAAAGTATTCTGAAGCGGCCGGGCGAGATAGACTTGTTTTATAGAGTATTTTAGTAAACATTTCGTCATTTTTTTTAATTAATATTTTTCATTTTCGTCCTGGGTTCCAATCCCGCAAAATCACAAATGGATTTTATTTAAGTGATAATGCTGCAGCCCCCAGGTCTCGCCTAAAGTAATGTTAAAACAATCCCGGGCTTGTGCCTAAAAAAAGCGTCCTAAAAAAATTTAAAAATTCCGACTAACGGGACTCTACTGTATATAGCAAGAGTATTTTTTTGTCAACATTTTAGAGATCGAGTTTTGATGGATTCGTTTTGGTGCTCCAATTTTTTCACTGGTTTTTAAAGTTTTTTTTTGAAATTCTGATTTTAGTGGTAGTTTTTCTATAAAATAACAGTAAAATTGGATTTTTATTTTTACCAAAACGGCCTGAACTATTTTGAAAAAAATTTTGTATGTTACAGTCCTTTTGACCCTAAACACAATGGTACAACCATCAATGCCATAACAAATTACAGTTCAAAAGTTAATGCAATTTTTTTATTTTTCCCAATAAAAATCATAGAAATTTGCTTATCCATGATAAGGAAGGGTTATTGACGAACTTATGGGAGAAAATATGTAAATTTGCTGATACCGTTTATTTTTATCTATATTTAACCCTTTGCGATCGGAATGAATATTTGCTGCTATGGTCGTGCGGCCAGCTCTAGGCCTACTGGCCGCCGCCATTAGCGCGTGGAAGTCAAATTTTTTCCCACAGCAGTTGTCCTTTGCGATCGGACGGCCAGCAGTGCACACTTGAAATCCAACGAACGCTCGGGCGTCCAGCAGCACTGGCCGACAACAATATTTTTGTTTGTAATATTCCAAACTGACTGGGGTATTATGCCTGTAGAGTGCTGAAACCTAGTGAGGAATTGTTAAACTAAATGATCAGCAGGCTTGCCACATTATATCGTAAAAATTGTGGAGGGAACATCTAAAATAAACACCAGCTGAACAGCTGTTGTTCTGTCACAAGTGCTGTCATAATTATCATGGTTTTGTTTCAGTGATTTACAAATTTGTGTTTATGAAAAAGATAAAAACAAAGAGATATATATATGTGAATCTGAACAGATGGTGTTTTGGCCTCTGGGGACATCAATACGAAAAAGTAATCGGTACCGGGTCCAGGTCTTACCATGAGACCTAAGGTAGCTTATCCCCTATATGGGAAATTCGCTAAAACATTATAAATAAACTAATCAATCAAACTAAACTAAAACTCAAAGATAAACTAAACTCACCATGAGTGGTATTTGAGGTGCAAACAAACCACCGAGGCACGCCACGGCGCAACACAAGCCAACCATAGACTGGCGCAGCTCTGTAGGAAACACTTCCGCGCCGACCTCGTATATCACCGTGTAGGAGATGGTGATGGCAAACTTACCCAGCAGGAACAAGCAAAGTCGAGTGATGTCTGCGTCTGTACAATTCACAAATAAGACATAAGTAATAGATTATTACAATGAAAACGCTATGGACGACTATACAGTACTAGCAGTTTAATGCAAAGTATGTTGGCTGCTCTTCCCAAAAGTTATGAGGAACCTCTCTTGTGATGGAAAATCACAATAATAACATTTCCCGCATTTCGATTGATCAAAATGGCGGCGTGCTATGAGCTTGCCCTTCCCTGCTTTGAAAGAAAGAGCTATGGACGGAGCAACTCGCAAGTGTTTAGTTCACTCGCAGACTTTGCGGGAAACTTCGTTCTCTGCTGCGTTTGTTATTTTATTGGTTTAATTGCTGTTATATTATTATACGGTAATTATAAAAAAATCAACTTTGACTTTTGGGGAAAAATATTTTTTTAGTATATGTATGTAGCCTTACGGTCAAGGCCATCCAACATATCTGTAGCGGTAAGGGTTAATATTTAAGTATTGATGGTTTACATTCAAACCCCCTACACTTACTTATAACAAATATTTGTTGTGTAGTTTTTATGCATCTATAGGTTTTTGTTATTACAAATAAGGTCATGGTTCTCTTTGATTACTGTTAAGAAAAAGGATTGTAGAGTATTTGTATAGTAGGGAAGTCTGCTACTAAACAGAATAGATGGAACGGAAAACAAATTAGTTAAAACTCTTTCAGGCACAGTGTTACATTTATGTAACAGACTTTTTTACTTTTTTGCTGCACGGTGTTACATCTTTGTAACGCGAGACATTTTATTTTTTGTAAACGAGACTACAAGCGCTATGCATCTGTAAACTTTAAATGTTAGTGCTATGTACCTTTGCTAGGTGGCAGCACCATCCATTTGTTTACATTCTGACAAATAACTCCTAGAAAACAGCTGTTCTTGGTGAAAGACTCGTTCCCAAGATCCCGTCTTTATTTTTATGCAAATGAAAGATATGTTGTTATTGATTATATAATTCCTATGCTGTTTTGTAATGTACTGTTATAATAGCGTCCCTTGTAATAGTTTAGAGTCATAAAATCAGTAAACTAGAATGTATTTTGATTGTTCAAAGTGTGTTACTCAAATGTAACACCATGCAGCTCAGCGTTCCAAAAATATCTATCCATAAATAATAAATTAACTATAAAATCTTCCAGAAACTTAATTTTAATTGCGTTTATGCATTTTAGCGAATTTCCCTATAGGGAAGTAGCTATTACCGTAGGTCTCATGGTAAGACTTAGGCCCGGGACCGATTTACTTTTTCATTTTAATGTCCCCAGAGGCCAAAAACACCATTCGTTCAAATTTTTATATATGTATATATATATATATAGGTATATATATATATATATAGATTTATATATATATATATGTGTCCGTGAACACGATAACTTGAGTAATTTTTATCCGATTTTGATGAAATTTGGTTTGAAGGTGTATGGCGGGATAAACTTGAATGAGTTCGCGATCCAGCATGATCGGACCATGGGAACAGGGTTTTATGGGGGGTTTTATGGGGTAAAAATTGGTTTTTCTCACTTCTTACCCTCAAAACACAAAATTTCCCAATTTTTCTCTAAATCTTCTTAAAGAGCTTAAAAAAACAAACAATTCAGTATATCAAAGTGTTTTTGTACGGTTATTGGTTACGGAGAAAACTTAAAAAATGGTAAATTTAAAATTCCCATGTTATTCTTATGGAGAATATTGTAAAATGTTGTAGTTTGCTTGTTTATGGATATATTTTGATCAAATTTGGCAAATTTATTTATTTCATAGTAAGCTATCAATATTTTACTAAAAACACACTACTTTATTAGTTTCCTTGTAGCAGCAAACCTAGGTACTCGTTAAACCTAATGTTATTTAAATAGATCAATTGAAAATCAATTCGGCCAAATGGAAATTCGCTTAGACGGCAGGTTTGCTGCGGCGGGGGTATTTATAAATAATATGACATTATAAATAGGTTTTGTCATATTTTTGGCTTGATATTGATAGTTTTTTCTTGTGTCATTACAATTTAGGATAAGGTTTGGGCATATTGGAACATTTTTTTATTGAAACCCGCCTTTAAATTTATGTTTATATTACTTAAATATAAATTGGCCTTTATATTACTTTGTTTTGGCTAAGTAACTTTTACATTTTATAATTTTTTTTTAATTTATTAGTGTGTGAATTTTCTTTTACTACTACATTTATTCAGGTCTCCATATGATGTTGTAATGCTTTATATTGTATATGTGTAAAATATATACTTTCTTATATTGTAATTTGCATTTATATTTATGATATCCCCAAAGAAACCCCTCTAACTTGATTTTTAATACTTTGGGGATTCAATAAAATATGTTCCATGTGCTGCACGGTGTTACATATGTGTAACTCCCTTTTATCACTAAGTGATAACAAAAAAAAAAATTGTAATTTATTTTTTTTAGGACTTTTTATAGTTCTAAACACAAATCATAAAGTATTAACAAACATTTCAACAAAAAATTTTCTGTGCCGGTTGGGGTCACCCAACACCAGTATTTTCCGTGCTGCAAAGAGCTATAAATGCTGACAAGACTTTTTTGTAAGGTGTTTATATAATAAACCTTTATACTCTACTATGCAATAAATTATACTGAGTTACTGTAACAAAAAAAGCTCACCAGAAGGCACGAATAAATAGATGAAACATGGAACAGCAGCGAGGAAACAAGTTCCAACCAGAGTCGTTTTTCTGCCAATGTTGAAGAACTCCATTCCAATCCACATCAAGGCGTAGGCCGGCACTTCGACTAGAGCCATCAGGATGAAGTTGAAGTATTTGTTGCCCGCAAGTGTCACTGACATCAACGAGAAGCCAAAGTAGACGAACACGTTGACCAACCTACGTCGTACACCACGGGTCATCCAACATCTAAATATACAACGCTAATGGTAGGAAATACAGTTGATCAATAACTGATTTCAATTTCATACTATGAGATAATGAAAAACCATAGAGTAAAAATGTTTAGAATTCTCAATTAATAACAAACTATAACCATACCATGTGAGGGAACAGATGCCAAAGCGAACCAGCAGAGCAGGAGACTTCAACAGTTCTCGTATGACTGATCTTGTTTGTTGCTTTGTTTCAGACTGTTTTGCCTGCCAACAAGAATTGGAAATCATTAATTAAAACTGTATCAGCACAAAAAATATTAACATGATTATCAACAGAATTAATTATGAGAGAGAAGTTGTAGGTTGAACTATTTGCTTTAGGTACTACCATCCTCAAATATAAGGCCGTTGGCATGTGACAATGCCCTCTGGCCGGGGCATTGTCGAACAAATAACCAAAGCTCGAGCAAATAACGCAATGGGCAACGGACTCGTGGCTGAGTCATGTTGATGGGAGGTTTCTTGATTTCATTACTTGGGCTGGGGGTGTTAGAATTTGGAGGGTATTATGGCTGATGGTAAGGGTATTTCTGAAGATATAGATAATGCATTTGATTCCACACAAGCTGGTGAGATATACAGTACAATTTCAACTATAAGAAATAATCAATTGGGACTGGAACACATTCGGAGTTATTCAAGATTAGACCGTGTGCACGGAAATCGATGACGATGTTTCCATAACCGCCGGAAACAATAATGATGTCCATACGACCTTGGGATATATTTTACATTTTTCCACGATCACGGAAGAGGATAATTTGGTGTCCTCGACTCCAGGAGACCATGATGATTTCTGCAAGACAACGGAATTTAAAATTGTGTTAATTGTTAGAGGCTGGATGAGTGTATAGTAATTCAAATTTACATGAATCGTACCATCAGATACTATTCCAACTCTTGGATGAGTTTTCAGCAATTTATATTTAACCATTTCTACTCAAACTAGCCCTTCCCAAACCCACTTTGGATTGTTGGTACTTGGTAGATTAGCATACTTGTTTTTAATAATAATATATTCAAGAAAGATACCCACTTGCCTTTTCTTCTCTAGCCAGAAGGAGATTGAGCGCATGCTGGGTTGACTCGGAAATCTCTTTCTTGTTGCATTGAGCTATGTTTTTTACAGTGCTTACAACTTTCTCGTAATACTCTTTGGTCATATACCAATGAATTGACTCGGTAACCATCCTATAAACATAACATTATTATTAAAGAAGAGGCAGTTTCTGTGTGTTTATATTTCCAGGTATTGGAAGAACTACTGAACTAACAGTGCTGCAATTTTAGACAAAGGTGGATCATAAACCTAGCAAACACATATAGGCCCTTCATGTCCTTAAAATATTCTTAAGTTGTCCCATTGACTTTCAAATATTTTAGGCAGAGCCTTTAGGAGTGAAAATTGATTGGTCCCCATGGTAACAAAAAAAGTTATTCATATTAACTTTGTTAACATTTCCCCAAGGCAATAATTTCATCCTGCATCACAGCTCATTGATTTTTTAAACTAGGTTGTACCATGGACAAAAAGAATTAAATATAGACTGTCAGCCGTGTAGTGGTTACCATGGTTACCAGAGGTTCTGGCGCTCACCACTGGGAGCGCCGTGTAGTTACGTAGCGTGTAGGCCGTAACAACATGTGGCTCCCAGCGGTGTGTGCCAGAACCTAAGATAACCGCAGCACAGCTGACGGTCTATATTTTAATTCTTTTTGTCTATGGTTGTACAGTTTTCTTTCCATAATCAACGGTGGGTGTAACATTCTCTACAGGTTTTATGCGGCACATTTATTTCCATTTGTGTTTTCACACTGTTGGGAAGCACAAGTAAAGCAAATTATACTACACTGACATACTGTTCATAAACATTCACTCAAGTTTAAATCTACATGTTGACCAAATATGTATGACTAGAAGCAGAGCACCCGTCCTTCGTACAGGGTTGGCATATAAGTATAAAATGCTTATTGCAGTGTTTATACTAAAGCTTTGCGTTCGCAATGGGGGGAGGACACAGTTTGGTTCATAAATTTACGACAGTAAGATATAGTATAACATATCTACCATTGACATAATGTTCTACCACTGCACCTAAACAATAGAAAAAAATAAATTATCAAACATTCGCACAATATCACAAATTATTTATTCAATTAAAAACTCAAACCTAACTGTAAACAATCCTACTTTGACAGTTCTCATTGTGTATCACAGCTATTACCGTAGGTCTCATGGTAAGACTTTCAAACGAGTTCGCGAACCAGCATGGGAACGGGGTTTTATGGGGTAAAAATTGGTTTTCCTCGCTTTTGACCCTCAAAACTTAAAATTTCCCAAATTTTCTCTAGATCATTTTGAAGAGCTTAAAAAAACAAATAATTTAGTATATTGAAGTGTTTCTGTATGATTATTGGTTACGGAGAAAATTGTAAATTTAAAATTCCCATGTTATTTTTATGGAGAATAAGTAAACTGTTGTAGTTTGCTTGTTTATGGACATATTTGGATCAAACCTGGCAAATCTATTTATTTTATACTAAGCTATTAATATTTTACTAAAAAAACACACTTTATTACCCTCCCTGTAGGCAGCAAACCTTGTTCAACCTAATGTTATTTGAATAGATTTAATTGAAAATCAAATCAGGCAAATGGAAAGTCGCTTAGTCTGCAGGTTTGCTGCGGCGGGGGTATTTGTTGCTGCTTAGTTCAAATTAGCTGTTGTTATATATGCAAAAACAAAATAATAACAGTGCTGCACCCTGTTGGGATACCTTATAACTTTTTAAAGCTATTGCATATTATAGAACCAACTTGTAAAGTTGAAACAGCTGACTAAATTCTTTAATTCCCTTTAAATATGAATACTCATAAGGTTAACGTGGGGAACTACAGAGCCATTGGGGCGGAGCCGGAAAGGATCTTTGAGATAAGAATATGCCTAAATGTTAATCGGGAATGTGAGCTATCATCATGCCAAATTTCAGCCCAATCCGTCCAGTAGTTTATGCGTGATTGAGCAACACACAAACACACACACATACTCACAAACTTTCCAGGTTTATAATATCAGTAAGATGATTATTAGCTTTGTTACATACCACATGTACAGCAGGTTGGCCAGTTTGATGCCTGCGATGACTCGTAACAAAATTCGGAAGTCTTGCACCCACCACATGATCAGGGCAACAATCACTTCTCCCAGCGAGTACAAAGTGTTCATCAAACAGTTGGCAAAGATACGTTTGTCTCCTCCCACTATCTCAATGGCTAAACAAAAATATTAAATCATTTATGTCTAACTTTTTTAGTGACATCAATTTTATAATGTACAACAGGGCTTGTATATAAAATTTCTTCATGACTCATTTTGTCTCTAAGCTAATTAATACTATTTCAAAATTATTGCTTTTACTTGCCTGAAATCTTCTATTTATTGCTGTTAGTGAGGAATATTGCAGGCAGATATACCTCTTAATTAGTGCTTGCTATCAACTGGAATTGTTACTGATGACTCACCCCAAAAAATAGGTAATTAAGAAAAACTAATATTACAATACTGTACAACCCTTTCATTAGTAACTCAAAACTCAATTTGGGTGTACTAATTAATGTAATGAACAAACGGAACTCAGAGGATGTTGCTTACTTAACATTATAAGAAAGAACAGATAAAGCCTGCAGTAGCCCAGGTTATTTTTATGGATTCACTGACATTGTAAAACCATGTTTATCAGAAGACTGCTCTAACTTTCAAAACCCTTGAAACAAAGTTGTGAAAGGATTTGAAGGGGAAAACTTTACATAATGACTACACTATAAATTAATGTAATTGTTAGTTAAATAAGTAAACTTACCCAGAATGAATGAAGTATTGAAAGTAGAACAAAAACAGACCAAGTATTCTAGTGAAATGAATGAGGAATATGTTGGAGCAAATGACTGAGCGAGTACTAACAAGCCTTGTGTCAATGTTAACAGCAACAGCATAGTCTTACGGCCAAACCTGAGACAACAGGACAACAATTTGGTTGTGAAATGGAAATTGAACACTTTTTTAACAGCCAATTACTACCAACTCTAGTCGATAGAGTCCATAACCTTTTAAAATCAGATCGGCCTACACCAATCTTCTTTATAACCACAAGTTTATTTCTAGATACATTAGATTGCCAAAACTGGAACCTATGGGAATTAAAGTATAAAACTAACAACACAAATTTATAAAGAATTTCTTTTAAAAAATCTTTTTAAAAATAGATCACTATTCCAATGAGTTTCACTTGAAATTGAGCTCTGCATAAAAATAAACCTGCTATTCTTATAGTTCATAACCTTAATCCGAATTATAACTTTACATACCAGCTGGAGATTTCTAGACAACGGCCTTTATAGAAACAAAAGTCTATTCCAATTCAAATTTTGTGAACAAATACATGTGTCAACATAAGTTTAAAACTGCTGTAAAATCCTCGGGGTTATTATCCCGAAAACGGGATTTTTAGACCACGAGCGAGATTAAAAAGGGATGCGGGATAGAACGGGATTTTCAGGTATGACGTATATTTTAATTTTTTTCTATTTAATTTGAGGGGAAAACGAACTCCAACTGATTAAACTACTGTAGCAAAAGATAATAGCAATGTTTAAACAGCTATTTAGACATGGTACATCAAATATAACACTCGGGATTGAACAAAAAACATGCGGGATAAAACGGGATTTTCCATAATTCAAAAGCGGGATTAAACAAGATTTCTCGACCCGGCAAGCGGGATTATTTTTTTGGTCGTGTGGATACACTGACAGGCGAGCATGTTCGCGAGCCTGTTGGCGGGCACGCTCGCAAACATGGTCGGCGTTTCCAACAGACGGTCGAGCATGCTTGCGAACTTGCTTGCCGCCACCGCACAGTACTCACTTCTCTCGTGATGTGACAGTCCGACGAGCTGAGCGCCGAGCCCAGCATGCTCGCCAGTACGAAGGCTCGCAGACCCCACACATGGGCGAGCATGTTCGCCGCCAACACCGTCACAAACATGCTCGCGAACATGTTTGCCCGTGTATGGGGGGCTTTAGCTTGGTCAAATTAATGAATACAAGTTTCATCATAAGACATTTCTGACTATCCACATGGAATTTTTAAGATGAAGTTTGTTCTCCAAATGTAGTAAAAAAAAAAATTGTTTAAGAAGAGATATTTTACCTGTCAGACAGATAACAAATGATGACATAGTTGGTAATCAGTCCGAAATTGTTAACAGTCCCAACCATAGTCCGCTTGAAAACATTGTCCTCACATAGCAGTTTGAACTGAAAATTACAATCAATTTAAAGTTATCAAATCATGAAAATGATTTATCTTAATTTAAAGTAAAAGAGAAGAGTGTAATATATTTAGCTGAAGTTAAAACAATATGGTAATGGTAAGTCTGCGGGAGCTGAATGATGGTTATAGAGTTAGCTTGACGATCAGAAGTTCTCAATCCAATTGTTCTTGATAATTTGTCTTTTAATTAACAAGTTATCTTGACTAAAGAAATAGATGGTCTTAGTAACAAAGCAACTACCATCGAATATACACCCATATAGTACATGTATGTAATCAATGCTACTACTAAGTAAAATGATTGAATGTTCATGTGTAGAAGTTGTATTTCCTGCTAACACCGGTACTAAGTAACTTCTTTTTAAAAGAATCCACAAATAATCCACAAAAATTCACAAACCATTAAAACAGCCTAAATATTCTCTTGAGGGAAGAAAAGTTTGATATCAAGAAAGTGTAAACTACCTTGAATTTAAACTGTCACGATCCTTAACACATTCAACAGTGTAAATAAAGTTGGACAGTTCTTAAAGATGTTTTACATTCCTGCTTCTATCTCGTATTCATTGCAGATTGTTGTAGGTAGAGATAAAATCTCACCTCTGTAGCACTTGTCCGTTCCTTGGTGGCAAACACCCACTGATCACACGTCTCAGTAACGTTGTCCAGGAAGTTATCTTTACTGCAGCTGTTGTTATGACTGTCTCGGCTTGCGTAACGCTCACACCACTTGGGCTCCGGAGGATCTCCGTCGTAAGGAACTGTGTTTGGCAACCATGAGGGAAGGAAATCTGTGGTGTTAGGCCATTCACATTCCGGTATAAAACATCTGAACAGAAAAACGTGAATGTACTGTCAGCTGTGACTTGATTACTATCGCTGTGGGTACTACCATTCAGACAATCAAGAGATTGGCCAACATTAGAATCTTTTTATAGTTTCAGGTCTTGGATAAACCTGACTACCAATTCTTTTGAGGGAGTCACAGTAATATTTAATAACAAATAATACAGTAGAGTCTCGATGATCCATCCTAGAGCCATAGCAATAACAGCACATTGTGTTTTATTCTATGTTATTTACCATTTGCAATAGGTATGCAGCAAGGTTGTATGAACAAAAAGGTCGTATAACACTGACAATCTACATACAACACAGTAGTAAAAACAATATTGTAAACAAGTGGAAAAATCATTAAACTACAGTATTGACAACAGTACTATTGTGACAGTAAAAATAAGATAAAGAGATACTTTCCACTGAGTCACCATGTGCCTAGTATGCAGGTATGAGAAGTGAGGATATTGTGTTCTAAGTTTCACACAAAACTATTTTTTTTTTAAGGAGGTTGGCGGCCTCTTTTAACCACGCATTTGCCCGTCCACATAGACTAAGCGCCCATGCGTGGAGCGTTTACAGTAAAGCAAGGAGTGAGCCGGTACAGTACAAAGGTGAACTGTACTGATAAATTTTAGTGGCAGTTACCAGGATCCGAACCCACAACATTGCTGCCTTGGGCCCGAAGTCCGCTACGCTACCGACTGAGCCACCGACTCACTTAAGTTTTTATCCGCATGTACAATCATGTGCTGGTTCCTAAGGCCTGGCACGTATCTTCCGAATACAAAAAGGGATGAGAAAATGTGTTGTCTTGACGCACTTGCTGTGATTTACAGTCACACCACACGAAAATATCATGAGCTTTAATGGAAATTGACCAACAGCACAGGTTTAACCGAAATTGTACTAACACTGGCTGTGGTTAGCCAAAACTCAGGTTAACAAACAAAAGGATGGCTGGCAGTAGAAATTTTGATATTTTAATGGCCTTAAACACAGTGATGTCTTATAGCCTAAAGCAATAGTTTCGGCTCATACATGTACAAATTGTTGATAACTTGGACACTCTATGTGACATTACCTGTAGTCCACCTCACTAGAAGTGAAAATATAACTCATCTCCTCGAAGGCTGAGGCGATGAGTGGAATGGTCAGGAGAGCATATTGCCAAGTCTGGTAGCGGCCAAACTGTCCTAGCTCTGTGAACACCACCTCCAGATCCATCTAAACATGGAAATACCACCTTCTTACCGGTACCAAAACAAATACGAGGGTATTTTATTAAGTAAGGGCCGTTTGTGCGTATAGCTGCTAATTTGGTGTTTTACATAACAACGAGGCTCCTCACTGCTTACAGGCATAATTTTTTTAACAGAACACCGCCTTTTGCAGTTTAAAACAGATGCAACTTATTGTTACTTTGAGAAGTGTACACACTTGATTTTCGGAAAAAAGTACGATTGAGATTTGTCTGTAAAATCCATGGTAAGTGTTTATAAGTTTTGTATTCTCTTAAGTATTCTTGGCCCATTTCGAAGCAACGGCAGAACAACTAGTATAATGTAAAGGAATTAAAAGGAAAATTCTTTCACACAGCCTTATTGACAAAAGTTACGTAGTTTTAAAACTGTAATTAGTACATTATCTATAGATTTTTTTAAGTAGGCCTATTTCTTGCATCTATTTGTTTACCTTTGAAGATCAATGAGCATTAATAAAGTGTTAAATATTATTTTTGAATGTTTGTTCAAAAGACACAAACACGGAAGAAAACCTTAAAATTACAGATATGATGAAAATCAAACTTTTGAATAACAGGAGCTAACACAGAGGCTTGGTTTATGTCACAGTTTAATGCATGTAGGTATATAAAATGCTATAAAATGAATGGTAATTGTAATTAGATACTTACATGATTACACCTAACCATTGTTTAAAGTAATGTATAAAACTCACTAAGTAGGAACAGAGTTATGTTTGTTGTATTTGTTTGTTATGTTTGTCATATTTGTTGTATCACTCACATCTGTTATTGAAAAATACTTACATTATAGATCACATGACATTAACATGTGGTCTAGGGGTATTTTTTGGTAACGATAATCCTATTAAGTGACTGTAAATCCAATGCCATTGAAAAATATAGTATGTTTATAAGCAAAGATAAAGCCATTGACTATTGGTTGTTGTATTAATAGTCAAAGATAAAACATACTCCTTTAGTAGATTTGTCATCCTTATGGAACAGCTGAAGCCAATTTTATTGTCAGTAGTTCTGTACCTCGCACTAGAGGTCGTGTTTTATTACAATTTGTTTCTTGTTATTTAAAACCTCGTTTGACAAAAAAATGAAAAATAAGAAAAAAGAAAAAACAATCTAATCATAAACAATAACTTGTCTCCTAGTTATATTACCAAAAAGTAAAGCACAAACCATAAAAATAACAGAAACAAAATTTCGTCTACACTAGCGATCAGTGTCGACGTACATGAACTAGACACATAAAACGAGCTTCAAAATTTACAATGGGATGAGAAGTCTACTTGTGTTGCTTAGTCTATGGTTTAAGTTGCAAATTTATAACATTTAAATTTTGACAAGTATTTTGGGTAGTCCAACAAAAGCCCAATGAACAGTTTAAACACATCTAATAAAAGATCATATTTTAAAGGTATGGAATGTAACTTCAATATCAAAGATGGTTACTAATACCTTGAATGCAAAATGATTTTAATTTGTACAGTTAAGTAACAGACTAAAGAGTAATATTACTAATACTCTCTTGGCTGTGGTTAGTTCTTTCTTACACCAACTCAACATACATTAAGGATACAAAATTTGCAAAATAAAGAATTATAAAGAAACATCTCTTCCTAAGTTTTTGAGTGCTAGAAAAGGCTATTTTAAAACTAAACATTATAAAAATAATATTTTTTCTAAAAGAAAACAAATAAAGTGGTAGTGAAAAAGACAAAATGACGACAGTATGTGTAACTTTTGAGTTTTTCATATGTTTAACATGATATTTTAGTTTGTCTTTGGTCCAGAAATGATAGGTTGGTAGAGAGTTCAGGGACATCCTGTATAAATACACATTTTTAAAGATGTGTTTGATTACACAATTGAAAAATTACATTTCCCAAAGACATTCTAAAGTAGTAACTTCTGTATCCAATATCAATGGTAGTTTTTTTTTTTTTTTTTTTTTACAGCATTTATTTCTGGTTCAATGTAGACATTATACACAGAAGTGTTAACAAAATTAAAAAGAAATTAACTATAATAACATCGTCGGTTCGCCCAAACCTGGTACACCCTGTAACATAATTAATTTAGAGAATAATTTAATCGTCTTTAGGCTTTATTCATCCAATAGATCTTGAGGGAGCCTTCGACGTAGCCTCCTGTTCTCAGTTGCTTCACCAAGATGAAAAGTTAATGCACCAGGAACATCGTTTAAAGATTTTAGAAATTTTGAGGTGGTTTTTCAATAAAGGCCGAGATAGACTCCACTCCTAGTTCTTCATGTATATGCCTGTTTCTAACAAACCAGGGAGCATTCACCGCTATTCTTAGAATTTTGTTTTGAATCACTTGAATTTTGAAGAGTTTGTTTTTTGATATAGCTAATCCCCAGATAGGAGATGCATATGTAATCAAGGGCCGAATTATTGATTTGTAGATTAGAACTGTACAAGCTGGCTTCAGAGTAGATTTCCTATTGATTAAAGGGAAAAGCTTTGCAAGGCGTGCATAACCTTGGGACAGTTTTTGATTAACGTGGTAGTTCCAATTAAGTTTTTTGTCCAGCCATACTCCAAGATATTTTATGGCCTGGTCATCAGGGTTCCAAGGTAGAAAGTTACCGTATATTTGAATTTCATGTGGCCAATGGTAGTAAATTGACCAAATATTTACCTTGTCCAAAAAACAGATGACAGTTCCTAAAATTTCTAAAACTCTGTAAGCTTTGAAAATATAATTAGCAATATGACTGAAAACATCTGGTATGCTACATGTTAACCGAAACAGGCCATTATCACTATGTTGTGTACTTACCTCAAAGGGGGAAATGATACTTCTTGATATTGAAGAGCCTTGTATCGCAAGAAAATCTTATCTTAGTTATACACATTCTATGATGCAGTTTCAAACCATCAGAAACACAATACTTGGTTGGAAGATGATTAAAATATTGAGTCAGTCAAAATCATTTAAAGTTGTAGATCAAATTACAGTAATAATAATAAGATTTATGTGGCTGCACAGTTTTAACAATTACATTAATAAACAACAAAAACAAAATCTAAATAATGGATACGGAAACTTTAAAAAAATAAAATAACTTGCATTTTAAACTGTACAAAAATAATCTTCCTTTCACCCTCTCTCCCACATACATACACACACGCACACACACACAAACCATCACATACACACACACCAAAGCACATCTGTCAGTGACCAACTACGCGTACAAGCCCCTAGGACAAACCAGCCATGGCCATAAGTTCAAAATACATATTTTTTAGCACTGCCACAAACCGGGAACGGTTATCAAGGGATTTGATGGCTAAGGGGAGGTCATTCCAAAGTAGGCAAGCAGTCACAACAAACGCTCCGTCGTAAACTGCAGTCCTATGATGAGGCATACGCAAAGTCAATGAAGCATAGCGTGAATATCTAACACTTTCTTCAGCTACAAACCTAAAATCATCTACAAAATATTTTGGAAAATTTGTTTTTATTATTGAATAGGTTAGCAAAAGAATAGACTGTTGTTTTAGATATGAAATGTTGATTTAACTTATAAAAGTTACTGGAGTGAGCATATAAATTAAATAGTTTCAAAAATCAACGGTGAAAATTATGCCATTTGAAAATGTCTGTATACTGTGATGTCAAAACTTTGAAAAACATTTACTTTGCATGTATTCATTCACATATTTCCTTTTGCATCTGTCTGTTTGGAACAACAACTAAAATCCCTCTAGATAAAATATTAAAATATCAAAAAAAGAGCATTGAGAGTAATGTTCAGACTAAATTCTGACTTGGTGAAAGAGCACTTTAAACAGCTAAACATACAAACTGTTTATGGGAAATATGTTTTTGAAACAATTTAAATTTTTAAAAGTAAAACCTCATCCAATGTATCCAATCTACCGGTTCACCAATATAAAAAATCCCACAATTCGTTGGTAAAATCTTTTTAAATATATCCCTAGAGGGATTAGAAGTGTTAACAATTTTAAAACGTATATAACAAAACTGAAACATTTCTTAATAAACATGGCCATTTATTCTCTAGAAGAATCTTTCCAGATCCCTCAAGAATACTAGACGTTAATAAAACATATCTATATGGAAATTGTATGTTTAAATTTGTATTTTAATTTATAAAAATTTTAATCTTGGACCCTATTCAAATGCTGTTTTATGTATACCGTACTTCTCAATGAATAAAAAAATTTAAATTGATTACTGAGCACATCCGTTAAAACATTATACAAGCTTTCTGACTTTTCAAGTTCCAAAAATCTTGGGTCCGCAAAATCTCATTTTCAGCCCTTTCAACCCTTCTTCGGTCGCACATATTTTATTATGCGACCGGTCGCACTGTATCTCTCAGATACATTTTTTGTTATTTAAACACACAAAAAAAATTGTTTTTTTATAACCTACTTTAGACATGTATTTTCCCCCTCATTTTTATTTTACTTCATATATCAACTCTTAACCTATAGATTTCATACATATTTCAAACTGTCTAAGCATTTCTCAATTAGTAAAAAAAAGTTGTCAGACCATACACATTCCTGTATCCATTTGATGCATTAGGCGACCATGCCTGTTACACTGTATGTAAAATTGAGTTCAGTTTAAATCGTCTAAACTTGACGAGGAAAAAATGTCCTAGCATTATGCCTGTGGTTCAAAATTAAACTTATTTTAGTACAAGATGATCTTGGATGTAGATTATGCTGTAAAATTAACATTATACTTTATAAGTGTTTATAGTGCAATACTGTAACAGCTTTACATTGCAAGTGAAAACTAATAATTGGAATAATCTCTAAAGCTTATAGAATATTTCAGCCCTTTTTTACCTTCATCAAATTGCACAATAAACTTAATACTGATAATAACAAGTAAGTGGACTAAAGAAGAATCTAGTATAATATAAATATATTCGATAGTTTCCTTACCTTCATTTTAGCACAATAACAGACAAGTTTCAAAACTGATGTAAACACTGAGTGGCAGGATTGCAAAGTGGGAACTCTAACAATTGATAGTTGACAGCACACAATTGACCCCAACAAAATAGTCAAATGGTGACAAAAACCGATTGAGGCGGCAACCAATTCAACTGAGGAACTCCATGTAACAGTTTTATTATCACTGTAAATGGTCATTGTGCTGAGACTACAAAAGAATGTTAACATAAGTAAAGAACCATAAAATACAATTCCATCAGAAAAACAGCCTTACTTAATTGATTTTCTTGCTAAAAATCAATCAATACTAAAAAACATTAAGTAAATTTAATTAAATAAAAACAAAAAACTGTAATAAACACAACTGAGAGGAAATAAAGAGTATCTTTAGCTAATAAAAAAAATCCCCATGGATATTATGATTTAATCTAAACAGTAAACGAATATTCAAAATATTCCAATCACAGGAAATATATACCAGAAGAGGGAAAAATGTCTGTGGTTAATTTATTTTAGGATATCACATGAAATAGCTCAAATCAATCTCATATCTTAGTTTAAATTAGTAACTTATTACTCAAAATATCCCATTTACAGGGAATAGTTTTATACAAGAGTAAGTAAGGAGATAGAGTGTCTACAGTTAATTGATGGAACACCCCAATTAATTGTATACTTAAATTCTAATAATTTAACAAATACTTTAAATATCCAAATCATTAGGAACAATTCCTACAGAAAGAATGACCCATTACTTTTATTAAGTAGGCTATTATCGTAGACAAGCAACACAAGGAAGTACATTTTATCTATGGTATTATTGACCTTAGATTAATAGGTGATTAAAATGAAATTAACTGTAAGACCCTGAATTTTAGACATTTTTGAGCACCCTGTACAAAAGCATCAAGAGAAGTTAAAATGCTTTTTATCAAAATTCTCAGTCACTTAAAAATGAAGTATCACTTAACCAACCTTTGCATTTGAAAATTTTCCGAAAACTACTCCCAAAAAAAACTAGCCTTTCGGTGCGTTTGGGAGAAAATAATTTCCCAAATTCTAGTGGGGGGGGGGGGGTTCAGTTGTTGTGAACGATCTACCTCAATTGGTTTGCATCCTTACTCTATGGCATTATGTACGGATGGTCTGCCCCACCTTGTATTGTAGTTTCCACCAATAATATAAGAATCACAACAAATACAACCAACCTTGTTTGTACGATCATTAACTATTGATACCATAGTATCCAATAGTAAATGGTACGATGCTGTAGCGAGATCTTGAAGATGAACTGTTTGGAACAATGCTGTTGTAAAAGCTAAATCCGACAAGAAACTAATTATCAAAGTCACTGAAGCTCTAACTGCACTCGAGATAAATGGTTTTAAATAACATCAAGATAAATCACTACTAGTAAAGAATTTCTTGGCCAACATGTTGATATGCATTTGAGTAGGAATAAATTCATCAAAACCAAATTACACAAATTAAGTTCCACCTGCAACCAAATGCTTTCAGAAATGCAACTAAGTTGAAAAATAGACTAACTGTATATTATACTTATTTTTACCTAACCCGCCATGTTAAACTGCCCTATCCAAAGCGTGATGTATACAACTTCTTTACTTCACGAGTGAAGTAAATTTTCAAAAACTCACTCGGTGAAGTAATGAAACCTATTTAAATAACATTGAGTGCTCAACTTAAAAAAATACACCTCTATGGAGCCAACGACGTTTAACGCTAGAAATCAGCTGGTGCTTGAATTTTATTGTTATGCTTTAAAGTATTTTCCTAACCTAGTTTTTGTTTGTAAAAGAATGTTACTGTTAGAAGATGAGTGAAATGGATAGTGAAAAATATTGTACGTAATCCCCTGTATATTGTCGGGTCAGGTAAAATCTTGTACGTTACACGTTACGCAAGAGCGTGTTTACATCACTTAGGTGAATTATGCAACTCGCTTCCGCTTGTTGCATAACATTAACCTGCATTATGTAAAAACGCTCTTACTACACTTGTAAGGTAAATAGCTATTATTCTATTCTCCAATATGGCATTGAACTTTGGGGGTACTAATCAGAAATATGTCGACCAACAAATTTCTAAGCATCAAGAAGAACTAAAAATATTGGAATGAATACAATTTAAAATAAAAACCTCACCATTATATCATGAATTTTTAATTTCATAAGGCCTTTTGCCAGCTATGCTGGCATCATCAGACACATCACAAAACTGAAGGTTATGTTTATGTTTTACAATAATAAATTTAAAAAATGTAACATATGGGTAGTTAAAAATAAAAATAATTCTGTTAAGTACATTTAGCTAAAATTACAAAAACAAATTATATATGAATAAACCTAGCTGTTACCCACGTATAGCGCCTCGTTTTCCTCTTCCAGGAACTGATGAGAACCTCTTTAGAGGAGTGGGGGGCGTGACGTCACTCTTCTATTGAGGGCACACCATTACCGTACCGAGACGATGTGATTCCATCAGTGTTTATGGCGCAGTTAATAGCGTGTCTGACTAGTGATCTGGAGGTCTCCTGATCGAATCCTGCCGGCGACACTAACTTTTTGTCCAAGAATTTGCATAGAATGCAAATACTTCTTAACTGTACATATTTTGTTAGAATTTCAGGCATTTATAATTTTATTTATGAACAGAACTATTTTTTTTTTTTATTAGTAAACCTTTATTCGAGTTTTATAAGCCTTTACCGGGGCTTTAGAATACAACAATAAACGTATTCTTTCAATGTTAAAAGATGTTAATAATTACGTGATGTTAAATTATTTACAAACTCTCAACGAGTAGTGCTCCAACAGCGCAAGGCATCAAAGGTACGAATTCACAGCCCAAACGAATTAACATATCACATTTTTTTAAATTCCAATATACAGATAAATTTCCCCCCAAAACAAACAGTCATTTTAAAATTTAAAAATTTTTTTTATTTTTTTAAAATTATATAAAAAATAAAATTTAAAACTTTTTAAAAAATTTATAGTTTTAAATAGCTAGTTATTATTATCTTATTTTTCCACACCTGAATGCCAATTTTGCCCATTACCCATTCTCCCTGAAAATTGGTACCAAAGATGAAAAGTTTACTACTTTCAAGCTCCATATCTCGCTTAATATTCAAAATAAAATTTTTTTTCTTATATATTTGTATTTTTAATTTGTAGTACAATTGAACAATAACAAAAAATCAGACATGAAAATTTACGGCCAAACACCCTTAAATTCCTGGCTTAAAAGGTCCTGTTCTCTGGTTCCCAGCAAACACTTCTAACAATCATCATAGTCAATTTGTTACCAACAAACATAGCCATAATCACACCAATAGTCCGGAGAGCCATCTCAATATGTATTTGTAAAAGACATGTTTTCCTCTCAAGTAGCTTGCAGCTAGAGAGGTATACAAGGCACTGCAATGTACAAATTTTCGCATGCGATATAATAAACTAATTGAAATTGAAATAAACATGAGGGTTACAAAGAAATCCAGAATGAGGGTATGTTCTCAAAGTAATAAATATTTAAGAAGCAATGCCATAGATTATGAAGAAAATAATAGTCACCACGCTTCTAAAGGAAATTAAAATATTTCTTCAAGCAGGTCTTTAGGAAGCAAGTATCAGAAAACTTATTTTCGTGTAATAATTAATTTATTAATACACTGAGTTTTTATCATAAAAACATATACAATAAACGGAAAATACTACTACGGTTACAAAAACACCGTTCAACAACAAAATATTTCAACAACTGCAAAATGTATGAAAGTAATAACAATAATCCTAGAGAAAATCAAATAACTAATATTTATGATTTGTTCTTTACTTAGAAAGCAAAACGTCTGTACCTCGAATGATTATAATAAAATACCTCGCACTTCAAATATTAAGTAATTGTGGGTATTTAAACTTAAGAATATATTTCCCAGATGTGCTATAAACTCTTTATTGGTGTAAGTGACAAATTATCTTACAAAATCACTGGCGATCTGTGGTCGGTTGGATTGTTTCGCCTCCTCGAATCTGACCCCAACCAATCAATCTATGAACAAAAAACAATTGCTTGTATTAACTAGAGTATTAAATGTTTTAAGAGGTCTTTAAAAGTTCTGAGTTACTGTATAGGTGAATGTCTAATGCAACACAATGTATTTTTTGTCATACTACAGCTGACGTTTCTGATCTCTTTATATCTTAGTTAAAAATAACTAAAAAGCTGGAATAGAGGACATCAGCTGTGCATTCATACAATGAATACAAAACTTATAAGAAGCGCAATGCCTATGTTAAGAATTTAGTCTGGAAATATTGAAATTTCGGATAGTTCACGCGGTGGCCGCTAGGTAGACTATCGCAAGTGTGCGGCCAAGTCAGCTGACTGAGTGACAGAGAGTGAGACAAAGAGCTTAGAGTAGCAGTGGCCGGGCAAAGCTCATTTCGGAAGCAAAATTACAGTGTGACTATTCTTCGCAAGCATTTCGCTTCTTAAAGGGTTCCTATTCATTGTTTTAAAACACTTTGAGTTGTTGAATGTACTCAGAGTAGTTATAGATGCCACTATCAATTGGATTTTACACGTTACTCTTGTGTTTGAGAAACAAAGCCACTTTCTTTTTAGATATATACTTTTTAGAGTTATTCTAACTTTTTAAGTTTATGGTGCCATTTCTCCATTGGTTGTGGCCTACAAACTACAACAAATCATCTAACTAATAGTGTGTGCCTTCAGTAGCTAGTTAAGCACATTAACTTACATCAAGACAGTAGACTCATGATTGGCTGAGTGGTCATGGATAACCTGAAATTCCCGGAAATAGCCAACATTGACTTTGAATTCATAGTTAAGATGTAATGCTGGTTTAGGTTATGACCTTTATTATATTTTTATGCAGTTTGCATACTGTACCTTTTAACTTGGTTTCACATGTCCATTAAAATAACAACACAAGAAGTGACTCATCGGAGGTCAGTGAAGTAAACTCGACAACTCTGTAGCCTGCCTGCGGGATGATGGGCCAACACCAAATATTTTGTTTGTCACTGTATAACCTACATTTAACTTGCATAATATAAATTTTTATTTTGATATTTTTCAATCGGTGTTAATCCACA